AATGTATTTACTTTCTCCACGTCCTCTCCACCGCACCTTGAGTAATAGGATTGCACTTTCCTCCAGTTTAGCTCACTCTTGTCTCCAGTGCTTCTTCTCGTCTTCTGCATTTTATTGATTGTCGTTCATGCCACTGTCACTCTGGAGGTGTTGGGAGTTTGCTGTGCAATCATAGCCTGGTTGGCAGAGGCTTTCTGATAAACATTTTTTTCGACTGGTTTAATATTCTCAAGTGATAGACAAACATTTACTCTGATATTCAGAGGAGCTGCATAATGTTACATACATGATTTCCATTTAGTGTATGTACTTTTCCTTTGAACTTTCTCAAAATCTTGGCTGGAGACTCATTGCATTACTCAACTTTTACACAACACTGCTTGAACATACACATATTTCCATTACAAATTCAGTCAGTATGCATGCTCCCATTTTATTTCTGGTCGTTCAATTACCTTCAAGCACGTTGTATAAATATTATTCTACGTATTTCTGTTGACGCAATTTGAATTCGAGCCGCATCTTGATTGTGACTTTTGTGACCAGAGTTTCAAGAAATACGAGCAATTGGTGTTTTCATAATTACACACAAAAGATATTTCATGTATTTACATGCAAGCATTTGCTTCATGCACTGTCGCAAGCTCTTGATAATTTGCCATTATATGCCAAGTTACTTCACACAGAAAGGCTGAGAAGTGTTGACTGTGAAATCTCCGTTTGTGTGTACAAGATTATTCCAGAGTTGTTGAATACAGAATTGAATTGCTGATTGGAAGACGCAGATTGCAGCTTTTATTACCTTTATTATGAGTTGCCTTCATCGATCTCAAATTCTTTGATACGAATCTACACATTCTACCGACCCAATATTTCGATTTCGCTTTGTGAAATGTTTCAAGTCAGCGAAATCAAATTGCATTTGTTGTGTTTTAGTTAGCTCTGATTTAGTTTTTCCCTGTTTCCTCTGTGCGAGGAAATTTTATTGCATGAAACAAGAACAATAGGAAGTCGAAATCCGAATTACATCTGATCCCATCAAAAATAACATGCTATTTGATACACTCAACCAACCATGTCAAGTGCTACTTGTGTTTTACTCAACTCTTCTGTGCTTATGTGATTCCATTTCCTTTACACAATTCTGGCTGGTTAAAACGTTAACGCTAAAATGTCGTGGTACAAAAGTTGAGTGGATGGATTTTACCAAGGAATGTGACGCAGGATTCATTAAGTTCTAGTTGTTGATGAATAGTGAATAGAAAAAGCGTTTGTAAATAATTGGCACAATTTTTCACGCCGCTCGAGACAAATGTTCTTTCAGGTTAAGTATGTAGTGCAACCTAAAAATGCCAGTAAAACCAAAACCGTTTCCAAATCATTAAAGTACATTTCAGTACACTTATCACTTATAAATCTTGAGCTGGTCTAGATCCAAGCTGCATCATTTGCAAATGTTGAGACGAAATTGTAGCCTTTACCTCGGACGATATTAAAATAGACTAAAAATACCGCAGTTCCATTTTTCATGAAGTCGGGAAGCAAGATATCATCCTAGCGCTTTGAGTCAAAATTTGAATGAAATTATCGTTTCATTCAAATTTTGACTCAAACTGCGTGTTCCAATGTAATGTTATTACATTCCACGTGGGCGATTTCCCTACATATTACATACATATGTACATCTCCGGACACATGTAGAGGGGAGTCTGCTTATTTTATTCCTGCAAAAGGCTAAATACAACCTGATCAAAGTTGGGAGTAACAACTCTGTTCGAGTTTAATCCATTTTGCATATAGTCGGATATCTAGCACACGTCAAGTCTTGTGCTAATGTATGTTACCGACACACTCTGTTTCTTTGCCCCTGCTTCTATTTTGAGGTCCGATTTTCTGATTTCAAATAAAAAACCTGCGGGGTAACCTTCATATGCCCGAGCCAGTCGTTTCATCTCTCAACTTCTCATCCTATCGGGATCCCATGACCACTAAAGCTCATTTCTTTATTGTGCACCAATTTCCCCATATATGTAATTTGTATGTAGTGTACTACGTTCCAAATTTCGAGTCAACTAGTTAAGGTTTAAGCCACGACCTGTTCAAATAGACAGACAAACAGACAGACAGACAGTCAGACGGACATGACGGTTCCACAAGCTCTCGTTCGAACTGGAAAGTATCACGAGTGTCATGATTGAAAGCTAACGTGGATAAATAAAATTCTCATTCATAAAAATAGTTGGCACCAAAAGTCGTCACACTGCTCAATTTAACGTCAATGCAGTCAGGACATATTAGCCAGTGATCTGCCAAGATGAGATTTCGAATACGTATAATTTATTTTTACTACTATAGCATATGCGTTTTCTAAGATTATAGGACACCTAACGCAATTTTTTGGTAAAGTCTAGTCGAAGACGAGTTTCTTGATTTGCCGATGTATTTCACTGTTCCATTCTTAGATTATTTCATTCTGGAGTTGGAAATGTGGCACATCGAGTGAATACATTAGCACAAATTTCCTTCGTCACAATTCTCACAATCTCATTATGAGAGCTTCTGACAAAATTTGCGTCGTTCAGGGGAAAGGAAGTCTCAAATAAATTCTGTTCAAGTCTTCCAATCAATCTAATCAAACAGAAAATTTGGCTGAGATCGAGTGGAAATTAAAATTAGTTTGAGAAACTTTTGGATTGGAGGGAACGTATTTACGACGCAACGATGGAAATAAACATTTGATTAGTTCTGGGTTAAGTTACGTTGAATTTTGAGTAACATAATTTTCCACATAACTTTTGAAATTGAAATTGAAATAACCTTGTACAGTAATGCTTTGCAAAACTAAAAAATTTCAAAAAAAGGCATCTTGTTATTTTAATGCGTTCGCTAGGCTTATGTTCATAGATAAATATGTGTGAGGGAGTTAGTAGTATTTAGAAGCAGGTTGATAGGCTTATCCTGTAAACGACGTTCATTGAAAGCAGACTTCAACGAGGTATTTAACGAGAAGGAGAGTAAATTGACAAGAGAGCAGAGACATTCCAAATTTGAGACATTATTCACGCTACGCCTCACTCCCTTCAATCTTTAATAATAATCACGTTCACTCACTATCAGTCAGCATAGGCAGCAAGTCAAGCGCTCAAGTGATAACTTATGCATATGTCTCGAGCCTGGAGACAAAAGGTGAAAGCAAACAATTGTACCATGAATTAACCATCAGAGTAAAAAAACGGATTTCGTTGTCGAGATTTGTGCAAATAAGAACTTTTCTGAATTAATAACGCCAGAAGTGTTTTACGTTGTTCACAGGTTCATACGTAACTCAAATCTGTGTATATCTCATACATTAACTATGTGGCACCATAAAGTTGTGCAATCTCAGCTAAAATGAGATTAAATTAAACTAGAAATTTAATTTGGTAAAATTTAATTTACAGCATGAAGACAACAAGTCGTTGCATGGTCAAAGTTTGAAGTCAAAGTACTTAATGTCTTAAACTTAGCATGTTAAACTCGACAAAACATGTAAGCACGGTTGGTTGCTTGGTTGGAATGACAAGTGAAACCGTTCATTACTTAAAGCTACTGTGAAAACAGATTAAAGATGGACTTTGATTGATCGAATATTTTGACAAGAGGATTTTCACCACATAGTTTTGCATACGTACGTTTTCCAACCTTACTAACTGCCCGATTTTGGTCCATGCAGCTCGAATTTCTCCAAGAAATCATTCCTCTTCCTTTAGAAGTCGCACTGCCGAATTTTTAACTAAAGTCTATAAGAGAGCTTATCTCCCATAATGCTCTCTATTTCATGGAGCCAAGACCGACATCCGACTACTCCGCCCATCTCAAATTCATTGGATTTGAAAGCATTAACTTTGAAAGATTGATGGATGAAAAGCAACGCCACATCATTTCAAAACCAATCCTCTTACTCAGTCAGTCAGTCAGTCACTCACTTTTGGACAATGGCTGCAAGTCTGGGATTGTCAAACATGGTGGAAGCGTGAATGATGGTAAATAGTGATGAGGAAACACGATATTATTATATTGATTGCTATTCAATATCCTGACAACCGTTTTAGCACAAAACCCAGAATCTCTTAGGCTATACAAACACCTATGCATTTGATGTCTATCCCTGTGAATTGAGACCATTTATTATCAATCACTTTGGTCATTCTCCGATCCAGAAACGCACCACCAGGAAAATGAAAGAGAGAGAGATGATAACGCAGTTTTTGCTCTCATCTCATCTCAACATGTTCAAACCAAAAGTCTGTCAGTTTGAACGTTTGAGCTGACAAAACACGGTTTGTTGGTTTGTCTGATTTCTACCTGAATCGCTCTTGTAAATATGCATATTAAAAGTAAATCTGGTGAGAGCTGACGTTAAAACTGTGTATTACATTCCCACTAAGCGCTTCATGGTTGCATAGATGGAGGAAAATTAAATTCTTCCTCTCACGAATTTGACAGCTTGTTTATACCCTTCAAAATAAAAATAATGCAGCCTACGCGTGTACCGTGTGTACTCTACAGCCCACCGCGTTTCCCCACTTTTGCTTTCACTCCAAATCAATTACAGGAAATCCCAAGAAGTCAATCTTTGCCTGGAAGGATGAAATATGATTTCATACCTGTCTTCCTCCTCCACACTTTTCCCCTTGGCTGGTCTATGAGAGTGGATCGTGTGTGTCTGTATCGCTGCTGCTGCTGCTACCATCCTCCCGCAGCAATATCAATGGTAGGGTTGCATGCAAACCTGGTTCTCTTGTTATGCGAGAAAGAGAAAGAAGGGAGCCCGATTGGGTATTCCTTCTTTCTGCCCGTTCGTATTTCATACCGGAGAGAAGAGAGAATTGTGTGAATCCTATTCAGAGATTTACAAAGCGCATGGGCCTATTCCGGCTGCCTTGCTTATAACTCGAACCTCTCTCATGAGCCTTTCTCTCAATTCTTTAGTGCAATGCGAGAGTTTTCCCGGATCGGACATTTCCCATTAGCGTTACTCGCATCTTAACTTCTTCTTCAAGGTAGGCCACCAAACACAGGACGTACATAACAGGCCACTATCCTGCTCCGGCTGCTAGTCTGTCTTGGCTCATACATACGAGAGCCTGTGCATTACGTTAGATTAAAGTTGAGAGACGGTGTTGCTGCTCCTCCGTCTGCTTTACAAGAGTGAGAGAGAAAAAAGAGTTGGATGATATCCTATTTATTTCGTGTCGGCCCTTTCTGCTCTCCAAGATTCTCCTTTTACTTGGACGGTAATACAATTACAATTTCACCCACACTTACATTACCCGCACGACCATTCAACCAAGTCGAGGCGCACAAACAAGCCACGCTATTGTGTCCAAGGGTGAAAGTGCATCTCCTCAAATCTCTACGGGACATTTGATGTAAACTCACGTGATTATTATTACCACCATCCAATCTTCTCCTGCAAATTTGAATCTCAACTCCTTGTCCAAAACTACTCGAGCTAAACAACCAACAAGACGAGCACGAAGTATATATACGAAAGTGTAAAGCATGCGTTTTCCCTCTTCGTGTCCCTCCATAATAATAACTTGTAAATCAATCTACCGTAAGCACAATATTTATTCACACAAAATTAATAACTTAGAGCAGACTTTGTGAGCGACAAGCAAATTTCCGTCGTCGCTCTCATTCTCAATTCAAGGAGACTTTTGTAGGAGCTGCTACATGCAATCATTACATATTGATGGCAATGTGGAGAGGAGTTTGAGAGAGCTGGTTGGAACTGCAAATCCCTTGTGCGAGTGGGTGGACAGCGTTCAAAGGAAATTAGAAGTGGTTCTTCTAGTGTGGCTCGAGGGCATTGTGTTGTAATCAATTCTGTGCATTGCACACTACTTTAACATTAAGAAGGAACAGCGGTGAATGAGAAAGTTTTTGTAATAAATCTACCAGAGGAAAGCAGCTCAGCTTCCTACACACACATACATACGTTCCATCACCCTCAGCACAATATCGCCATTTTCCTGGACAGTTTGGCCCATGGCTACACACTTTCTTCATTACTTCCACTATCACATCACGACTGACAGCCGAGGAAAAGAGTTTGTGAGCACTGAATGAAATGTTCTCTGCCAACAAGGCCGACTGGAAAGCAATGCAATCCGACGAGAGAAGGACGCGATAGGAGGAAGTGACTAGACCTCAATTCCAAAGCCACACGATCTATATCATCATCATCATCATCGCCAGACTAATTGAACTCAGTCGTGCTTTCTCCACTTGTCTACTCAAATCTGGAGTGAGATATCACATTTGGTCAACAATAATATATTGATATCAACGTGATTGAGATCAAAGTGAAAACAGGAGATTATTTTGGCAATTTTTCGTCATATTCATATCATCCTCTGTCATTAGCCTGTCAAGAGTGAAAAGGATATGTGTACATGAACGGATAATATGCATAGGAGTTGCTCCTACTAGGACTAGTATCTACATAAGTATCGTTGTATATATGCAAGAAATTATACAAGTTAACCATTATTCCATGCAAAATTCGGACCGCCATGTGTCAGAATCCACAGGAAGTCAACGCAAATCGATGTCAGTCTTGTTGGACTAGTGACTGAAAATCGACTTTCACCAGAAATTGTTAACTGTACGTTGTGGGGTTGGCTGGTTGATGAAGACGCCTTGTGTATATACGGATATCTCTGCGGAAGGGAATCAGCCTGAGTGAGCACGACTCTAATTCCAACTCTCTCCAGACAGGAACATGCAATCGCAAACTCCACTTATTATTATTATCTGTGTAATTTGCAAAGAAGAGAATATCCGCTGCAGATTCATTTTCTGACGGGATATTGTTGGTCTGGCGAATCTCACTGTCACGTATATGCAAATTGACATTCATAAAGCGAGTCAAATTCAAATATTGGACGAGATCTGAGGAGGCGCTAGCAGTGACAATAATAATAAGTAATAAAACTCAGTGTCTATATATCCGCCGCCCACTACTCCGACAACAAGCGTGGTGCTGGTGCTGGACCCGTGGTGCTGCTGGTGGTATACATATCAGAGCAGGGAGTGCATTACTATTATGACGAAAATGGTGCCCATTTTCATTTTAAACCAATTCCCCCTGCTCATTTTCATACACATCATTTCCATTAACTGGTGGGTTTATGGAATTCAAGGGAAAAAACGTGAAATAAGGGCAGTTCAACAGTTCAATTCCAACGGCCAATAGTTCACATTTGCATACACACAGTCCCATTCTGCCAACTGCGAGCTTTCACTTGGCCTTGTCTGTTCCACTACTGCCTGCTCTCCTCCTCTATTACGAGGGGAAAGTGTGCGGAGAACGATGAGCTAAAGTGGAAGACAGTTTTGTGTAATGAGTGGAATCTAAACGAATAATTGAAGGAACTCGACTCATTCTGCCTCTTTAACAGTTATCTTGGCCTCCATAAGAGTGCCCTAAATACGCACCATTCTTTCTTTTTTCGCCATTAATTTCCATTAGAGTCTGACTTCATCCACTCTCGTTCATACATTCGTTGTACAAGTGTCGAGCTTTTCAGAACACGATTTAAAGAAATATTTGGCATTTCAACAACCAAGTTAGTCTGCACACTAAGCAAGTAGGACAGGGTAAAAAGTGGAGGAGGAGAAATACGTCTTTGACTGATCACAGTTGGAGCTGGCCTTTCCTCAGCTGCCTGCTTTCTCTTTCTCTGTACATATTTCATACCAGTTTGCTCCACTATCAACAATTGGATTAGACGGACCTCACCCTGTACATACACTGGCTCACGAGAACAAAAGTAGACACCAGCAGGCGAGCAGTTTAAACCCGACCTTCTTGTGTTCTGAATAAGCAAGTAGACCAAGGAGAAAGTTGGAAAGAAGGACTATCCAATCCACCCTGCGCCATGTGCGAAAAAATTGGCGTATAAAAAGCCAGCAAGTTGACAACTTTTTTTGAATTTCCTAGCCCAACCACACACTGGGATTCACATATCCTTTAGAACAAAGACTTTCTCTCTTATCAAACTCTTTGCCCTATTACTACCTTGTTTCAACTTATTGTATCCCCTCGACTTTCTCTCTCTTGTCGCTGGCCATCCGTGCTTTTTCATTTCAAATTTGAAGAAAAACTTTGTATGAATTGCACCCCGAAGCATGCAGACCAACTTGCATTAATTCCAAGGTGCAAAGCATACCCTCCTTCCTTTCATCTTTTTTCAACCAAACTCTAAAGTTTTACATGCATATGTACATAATGTCAAGTGTCAAACATCTCCTTTACATCAAAACTGGCATTTTTGAGAAATAGAGTTTGGCAATCACCTTCCATCAGCCGTCAGCTTTTCATTACACGCGACACCGTCACCAACCATTGGTGAAAATGTATGTAGGTGAAAGTGAAAAATTTTACATGTTGCACGAATATTCTGGGGCGAAAGAATATGTATGTAGGATCAAATATGGCGTGAGGTCATGGAAGTGAGAATGTCATGGCTAAATCTACAATCTATTCTTACTTGTTCGTCATTTCGCAATATTGAATTTCCCCAGCTCAGCTGGACATGACATGACATACTCGCGGTGAAAAACAGCATTATTGAATTAAACCTATTCTACCGTAAGAAAAAGATTCTCAGCCAAGCTTTTATTAAATATCCAAGTGCCTCCTACCATTAAACATATCCTAAAGCAATCGGTCCCTTCCATATTTTTGTTTACATCCGGAACCAATAGATTGGCACTGGTCGTCATCTTCTAGAGAAGGAACAAAGGTTAGTTGAGCTCAAGGTATAAAAAAGTCGAGATACTAAAAGTGAATGTGTGAACAGCCGCTGTCATGTCATGCAGTAAGCGAGTGCGCAATTGGAAGGAAAAACAACATGGGTTTTATATTGAGACGAAGGAGATATTGAGAAGCCCATTACATCGCACTCACAGGATTCATGTCGACCTGAATTTTTCCTCCCTACAGAACTTTCCTATCCTGTCAATTCTCTTTTTTTATAACTTTTGACCATCGTACAAGATTTATACCAGACCAGCGCAACCTACTTATTCTTTTCCGATATTATCTCGGTCAACTAGGTACATTTTATTACTCTGACGAGAATACAGTACCTACTCCGCTCGCGTCTGCATACATGCAAATATCTCTTTATCACATGCAAAATAATTTGCAGAATTTGCAACCAAATTCATACGAGTTCACCACTAACCTCTTTATAGGACTTACACTCAACCTGTATGTAAGGACGTAAATAGGTGTGCAATTTACTCATCGCCAGCTACTGTCAATCATGGATAATCTCATTTGCTCATACCAAAAATCTTTTTATGTCGAATATAAGATAGAAACGATGACTATCAAATCCACTGATGGCGAAAAATGTGAACGTGTTAGAGCCGAAGCTATACGTAGTTCACATAGGGAAAGGAGAACAGAGTGAGTAATTTGCTTTCATTGGTGAGTGGATGCCGTCTTGCGTTAAAAGCATTACCTGCTAATTTGATCCCAGGAGGCTTTCCCCGCACAACTACCAATCTTTCTGGGCTACTTGAGTCTCTAAAGTTTCCAACGAGAAGGAAGACGCAACTTTGGGCGGCCCCATAGTTCGTACATCTACGTATACGCACTCCAGGCTAGTGGGCCTAAAAGTATAGAATAAAAGACGGCTCAGAAGAGCCACGTGTACCCACAATTCTATTAGCTTTATTTCTTTAATATCAAAAATTTTCCTTGGACCTCGTCGACTATGTACTTAGAGCCGACAAGAGAGAGAGAAAGTGGGAGAGTGGGGGAGGATGTAAGTGAAATTGGATGGGGAGGAAGAGGAATGTGGTCAGGTTTGGTACTGCGGGTCCGGTCGAGTTGAGTGGCTACAAGGATGTTCTTTTAAAAGGTCACTAATGGCTTTGACCCTCACTCAATGAAAATATATAGGTCCCCGCCACCACCCACCCATCTACCTGCCTGCTCTTCTGCCACAGTAAAAACCACCGAATTTTGAACCTGCCATGTGTGCAGAAACCCAGCCATCAATAGGAGCTAGAGAAAGTACCTCGCGGCACGGGGACTGAGGAGGAGAGCGTCACCACCTGCCCTTCACAGATCTCGATGCCCTTTGCATATGTGGTAGAGTCCCATGAGTGTACTAAAACCCTGAAGTGGTTTGACTCCATGGCCACATTTGCGTCCGCCACACCCACTCAAAGGGATGAAAACCACAAAAGTTACCAACTTCAAAAATCCACCAAAAATCCAATTTTGCGCGGATTTTGATAAAATTTGCATTTTTGTGATCCCAGATACTTGCCTGATAATATTCGATAGCAATCTCAAGTTTTTTGAAATTTTCGAAATTTTCGAGCTGATGAACTATTCGAAAAAATTCAAAATTTCAAAAAAGTTGGGATATCTACTGGATATGATCACACAAATATCTGGGATCACAAAAATGTAAATTTTATCAAAATCCGTGCAATATTGGATTTTTGGTGACATTTAAAGTACATGAAAACAGGGCTTTTTTCCTGTTTTTGGCGCCTTTGAGTGGGTGTGGCGGACGCAAATGTGGCCATGGAGTCAAACCACTTCAGGGTTTTAGTACACTCATAGGGCACTACCACATATCCAAAGGGCATCGAGATCTGTGAAGGGCAGGTGGTGAAGCTCCCCTCCTGAGACCCACCAAAGTTGACTTAAGAGTTTTAAAGGGAATACGAAATATTCCCGTTACCACTGTTCTCCTCCGCCTACACTGCTGCTAACAGTGTTTTGAGAGCTGGCTTTTGAAATGAAACGATGTTTGTATAAAAAATGAGGTTAGTTTTGCAAAGTGACTGAGTTGAATGTTGAACGCGGTGGTAAAAACAGAACGTGGAATCACTTTGACAATTCTTTAGTAGTCCGTGAAAGTATATATCTGTAGTGGAGCGAGAAAGTTCTCTCTCAAGTAAATAACTGTTGGAGGGTACTCAATCCAACTCAACTTAAATTGAAGTGACTCAAAACTTGACAGTTTTGTACAAAATAACTTGAAAAATCTGAATATTGAAAATGGCAGTCGACAGTCTAGACATTATGTGTAACGTCAAAGAGTGGAACCATATTTTTTACCGAGTAGAATTTTTGACACATCGTAATTTGCAGCTTATTTACAAAAAGAGTAGAGCAATAGCGAGGCTTGAACTGAACGACACTTTTTGCGTCGACATTAAAGTTGAAGACTTACAATAATATTGCTGTAGATTTCATGATGAGCGTGAATGAGCTTCGAGACGTAAATATAATACGAAAACGAAGAAAGCAACTACTTTCCTCGGATACTTTCATCCAATCTAATTTGAAATCTTTACAATTTCACTGGCCCCTAAATTACGAGAGAAAGAGAAAAGACGGTGACCCAAAGAAAACTTAATCCAAATGCTATTTGCTCCAAGAAGGCCATCTCCTTAAAAAAAATAGGAATTCCCACACTCTTCTCGCCCCACTCTCTCCCATCCTCCGTAGTTTATCTGCACAAAAAAGAGAGTTTGTGTATCTCTCGCTCACGCTAGACTACACACCCACCAAAGATTCAAAAGACTCTGAAATACTCGTACGAAGGTGGGACATAAGAAGTTTATTTGAAAAGATCTTTTGCGAATCATCAATAGAACACATTAACTGTAATGGTGAACATTTTTAGATCTTCCACCACCACCACCACCGTCACTACTGCCACCATGCACCACCTCCAGCATCAGCACCACTCTATTCATACATATCTCACAGACGGTGGGACGTCTCGCGGAGAAAGTCTAGGAATTCAATGAAGGCATCTCAGGTTTCCTTTCCTGTTGATAAGGACAACTGAGGAGAGATAGTGAAGGAATACGTAGGGCCAAATGAAATGAAGGACGAAATCTGGTAAAAACCTCATGTGTGCATTGACTGGTGTTTCCACAGTTGTCGTGTCATGTCGTGTTGGATGAGATCCTTTACCAACACATTTGTCCCGACAGGGAAACTGCGCAGCTATACTTGCCTCAGTTGTTAACAGACAATCTTGCTCTCATTGGACGTAGAGCATAAAAGTATTGATTTGACTTTCTCAAAGCACGAGGAATAAGATATCCTTAATCCACCACACATTTACCTTATCTTGGCCCATTCACGCAGAAAGCACGAACGTGATTTTCTACGGGCAAAGTCGTACTGTTTACTCGTTACGCTGTTCGTTCCACGTAATGGTGTCCTAGTTGCGAAGAAACTGATTTTTACAATCGTGTAGGGAGAAAGGAGGCCAGGAGAGCAGGAACAAGGGCTGCTGGTTTCGTGGGTGGCAAATTTGTGCTTCGTTCCCAACTCTGATACAAGTACGTTAAGTGATTTACTAAGTTGGTTGGTTGAGTGTGCTATGATTCTCGATCTGGAGAAGAGTCGCCTCATCTTCTTTTACAACTACAACCAGAGAACAAGTTGGAGAGAGACTCCCAAAGAATTTGCTACCCTGTGGGTTAATGTTAGCGGATTGGATTTTATCACAGATGGAATATCTTAAGGCGAATTGTACATACTTTTACCCTGCCTGAGTTTCGTTTGGTGGGAAGCGTCGTCGTGTTTATGGTGGCCGTTCGTGACTTGACCGGTTGCTGGCTACAAGTTTCGCCCACCAAACCACCATCCTAGTCGTCGTCATCCGTAGATAAGTTTCCTCTTGTTTGGTTTCGGAGCTTATCTTGGCTTTGAGCTAACCAGACTTGGACCAGTGAAAATCTGCGGCAGGAGGCAGCTCAAGTTTTTTAAGACAGTTAGTCATCCGGAAAAATAAAATCTTCAGAGTTTCTTGAAATAAAGTTTCGTCGGGCTTTACACATTCAATTCTTATTCCATCGCACGTCGTCTACACTTGCTGTACTTTTGCTAAGTTCAAAGTTTTCTACATAAATGGTGCAACCCAGACCAACAGTTATGGCCAATGTGGAGACTACCCCCTTTACCATCACCGAACTGCTCCAGCGGGTAAGAACACATCTCTTTAAAAAATATTTATTTTGTCTCTGTGCATCCTCCCGTTCCATTTAGACGAGTCCCATGTTCATACATATGCCACTTTCCCCAACTCTGTTACACGTACATATTTATTTATGTAAGTAGCTTTGCAAGTGTAACCGACACTTACTGCAAGTGGGCTTAATTGTATAACTCTGTTAAATAAGACTAATGAACATAATCAGCTTGTTGGTCAGTGTCATTAAAGTAATTAGCCTTCTCCTTCTCACGGACTTGTTTAAGAAGGAGAAAGCAATTCAGAAATGTGTTTTCGGGATTATTTCCCCAAATTCGTTTCAATTCGTTGGCCCTCCCAATCGTGCGAGAACCCATCATATCACTACACATTATTGTGGGATTGAGATTGACAAGAATGGGGTGCTACTAATGGCTCCCGACTACCAAGCCCATCAATAAATGATGATCATCATCATCCTCTTTCCCTTCTTGAGGTTGGTGTGGGAATGGAAAATAAATTTAAGCTTTCCACTCGTCCTTCTATCCGACTTCACGTGCAGTTGCACAGGTTGCACTTACTTCTCGTATACCTCTGCATCTGAAATGTAACTGCACACAATACGATCCTTAACCTTTTATTGGAGAGTCGCGGTTACACAATATGTAGACTTAACTGCCATTCCCACCCAATATTGCAGTGCGTTATATATATATTTACAAAAGATTTTTAACATGGTAAGTGAAAGTGCAGACTTGTTGTAAACCGAGCCAGTTACATAATTTCTTTCAGAGATCGTTTTCTTCCAGACAGGCCAATATTTAGCCAATATTTTGTGCCATCGCTATTTTGCATCAATTTCAGATTTTCGCAGCAAGTTCAGATTCGTTCAACATATTTTAAAAACGAATACGGACGGACAGACGGAGTGACATCATAATTCCATAAGTTCTTACTCGCGGTAAAAATGAATAAACCACGAGCCCCCAAGGCATCCAGGAGTAACTGTAGGAGTAATCGAATCAGAATGAGAGTGTCATTTTTTATTGATAACAGCCACCCTTGTCACTTCATTTCAGGATTTTTATTACGAATGCACTTTGTCTCGCAATAAGAGGGATGGAGAACTGCATTAAGGTGATAAACTGCCCCGATTGCCATCACATTTATTGGCAAGACCAAGTCTCTTGTATGCGGACGCTCCCTTCATCTGATAGAGTGACATTGTAACTTGGTGGAATGGGAAGAAAATTGTATAAGTGAAGGATTCAGTGGTGCCTGGCTAACCGAACACCATATCCAATCCATCATAGCCACTCTCAGTCTTTGTGGCAATATCGCTCTGTACACACACTGCTACCCTTTGCTCCATTCCCAACTATTTATTTAGTTGCCCTGCACCCAAATGCTAAAACAGCTATATTACAGCACACGTGGTTGTCTTTTTCGACAATGCGATGGTTTGGATGCACTTTATGTGACGCTTTCATTGTCAACCGTTTAGGTTATTTATTTGCGGACACTTCTGTCTCAGAATTTCAACAGTTCATCTTTTTCAATTTTGGAAATTGACTCGGGCGGATGCATCATCTACTCAATATCGAAATGGAATGTTGGCTAACCTTATAAAAGTGCCGGAAACACATAGCGTCGGGTTGGTGCAATTTGTGACACTGCATAAAACGTCACTTGGTTGACGAAAAATGGACGAGCCAATAATATTCAGACCCGTTTATTTTATTTTCCTATCAAAGGGAAATGAGGTGAAACTAGACTTCCTCTCCGACTCAATTTTACCGTATACTTTTATTTTATGACTACATTTTATTTGCCCCACTGCCAAATAACATCATTTGTATTTGCTCGGCACTTTGACAATTGAATTGATGCAATAACCTTGCCATTGTTCGCTCGAGATATTGATTTTCATCTGACTTTTCTTTGGTCCAAAAGCCTCTTGCATCCATTGTCACAGAGCAGTTCAACAATTTACATATGTAGAAAATTATATACATAAAGAAAGCACATAACTCTGCATTGGTCATTCATTCAATAAGCAATTGAAAGACAGTGATATTTGTTAAGACAATCTGGCCCATTAATAAAGCGGGATATGCGTAATTACCTAGCTACCTATGTACATACATACGTAGGCAGATGTATATTTACCTAGGAACGACCATTTTCAGTTCTACTACGGGTTTGAAAATTAGTGAAATTAACCTTTTAGGATTCTGAGACTGGAATAGAAAACTTTGACTGAGCTCAGTTTGTTTCAGTTTGAACCACAAAACTTTTTCCTCCTGGGAATCCAAACAAGGCATCTTGTTCCTGTTTGCGTGAATTTTGTGGTGAAAGTGTGGCATTTTAAGGCCAAAAGGAGCTGCCCTTATGCTGCTTGCTACTCCACGCTCTACTTTGTTTTAAGGCTGCTGGTTCCTAGATGAGCAAAGAGTTGGTTAGTTTGTTAATGTCGTGGAAAGTTTGAGTTTTGAAATGAAAATTATAAATGCAAATAATCACGGAGCATGAAAATAAAATAAAGCTTTCCCCACTCTCACCTAACCCTCGGCTTGGCGAATCTTTTCAATATGCCAAACCGTGGGGAAGCCTGGAAACATTTGAAACAATGCCTCTGCTGTGAGCATCGGCCTAAGTGCCCCTGGTGGAATGGCAGTAGTAAAATATAAAGTTATTTTCATGATGTTAGATTTACCTGCAAAACAGGCCATCACTGGCAGACGAAAGTCACTAAATATGTGCCTATGCATAGTGTCGAATGAAATGAGCACGTTTTCAAGCCACCTTGTGAGAGTTTTACTGCCTTCATAAAACTTATGCAATGATTTAATAGTCTTCCTAACCCTTTAGGAGGCAGATTTTAACCAAAATGACAGCGTGTGTGCGACGGAATTCAGAGTAAATACAACATCAAGTTTATATGTCGTATTTTGAATAAATCTAACCTAGCTCGTTTGATCGATAGGTGGGATATAAAATTCTGTACACGTTGTAACGCACGTTCTCTTTGCTGAAACATGGCCCACAGTATTGTTTTCTAGTACCGCAATAACAATTTTGGCTTTAAAAATCCAATTACCGCAAGAAAGTAGTAATCCACATGTACGCTATTTTAATATCGGTCTCCTCGACTCAACATTTCAGCTGCTGACGTAAAACTTTTTCGAGTTAATTATTAATTAACTGCATTTAATTCTCTATTTGAGCGTTAAATTAACTTTCTCCACTCGAACTCTTTACAGCTTTGTGGTTCGACTATTGCATCGGAATCCAATTTAATTTGGGAAAAGTATGATTAGACGTATAACTTGAAACCACTCGAACCACTGGAAGAATTTTCATCTCAGTCCTTGGTCGTTTGTCATTACCACGGAACTTTACTTGTGGTGTGAGGCTAGCTTCCCATCTGAAACTTATCAAAAGTTTGAAGTGCATCATGGTCTGACATGAAGGAACCCCAAGGAGTGCCAAAGTTAATTAGCAACATAACGTCGAGGCTCATCTGTATCATTTCTCTCATCTCCTCATCCCATCTTGCCCCCCGCCCTCGTCGTATATGTATGCAGTCAGTCATTCGCAGTTTCCGTCCTCTACGTACGTACACACAGAGAGTTATCCACTCTGTTACGAGCCCAGAGCTATAAATGTTGGACTGGGATGATTCAACCTTGGACATGGCGTGAATGAAGCCTGCAGTGAGCGAGGAGCAGAGTCATTTCATTCAGTGACAGATAGAGAGATGTTAATTAAATTGAGAGCACATCACATCTCGTCATCCAATTGGCATGCACCAAGCATAATGAAAGTATCAAAGACGGAAACGTCTAGCACAACCAACGAACCAACGTAGGTCCACATCTACGTGCGCTATTTTACTCGGTACGGTTGAGCATGTACGTACACACCACAACAAACGGGGTGTAGAAAAGGAATCCGATTTCCGAACAACGACCTTCCACAAAGGACTTGCAAGACGCAGCAGACGAGATGATGGAACTATTTTGTTTTGTTTCCTATCCTTCTCTCTCATCTCATCTCCAATGTTAAAATAACCCTTTATTTACTCCCACAAATTAGGTTTGTTTAGCTTTCTCTCTTTCCCTCCCTCCCTTCTTTCCTCCCTCCCGTTGTAGAAACACAACTTGCTACGTATCTTTCTCTATATCCTGTAGATTGAATTTTGAATGAGAGCTGGAAGAACGAACCGAACCACCCACGCCGCGCAGATAAGTACAGGGTGATACCTAAGATCTTATGCTTTGAAGACATTGACTTTGACCCTTTGAGTGGAGCAAGCAACAGTAAAATTTCCATCCAAACCCTGTTACCAAAGACTTGCTATGTTCACTCTGCCAGGCTTTGTGGTTTGGTGTTAATTATGTCAGGAAATGAAAATAGGAATAAATGAGCTTGTCGGTGGTGGATCTTCTTCGTTATTATTGCAATGACTTTGTTTTCACAATTTAACGTCAATACACGGCACCGACTGTTGCCGCTCTCCTGTGAATGTGTTCGTAGTGGTGAAGTCTCTCAAAAAGGAAATAGAAATCTAACAAAATCCGGACAAACACTTATCTGGAATTGTTTTCCCTATTTCTGTAATGGAAACAACTCTGAGCCAAATGGGTGGGCCGGAGTTGCAATGGATGGCAGAGCAACTGCAATGTTTATGATGACGATGCTTTTGTTGACTCCTGCTTCGGTTAAATTTGTGGAAAGTGGGTTTCTGAAAGTTTAAGTTTCGAGTGAAAGCAAAGTTTATATCCGAACTTGGTCTTCGCATTTAAGGAGCAACGGTGACGTGATGAAGTGGCCGAGCTGGCTGCTTGCTTCCTAATGGGAGACGAGTAGCGGAGTGAATGACGAGAAAACCTCGTCCTCTTCTTTGGGCCGTTGTTGTCAGCGATTTTGAAAGTAACCGTAAACATTCAGCTCCCTGATTTGTTTTGAACAGATTCGCCCCTTCTTTCCCCGTTTGCTCACTGTTGGAATT